CAACTGTGAGGCTGGTAACCATGTTGTATACTTTGTTCACAAAATGTTTCAGTCAACATTATCATCACAAATACAGCTTCTGTCACCAGTGAACCTTTGTTCAGTGACTTAATAATTATTATTATAAATGATAATGGTATATTCTCTATTTAGTGAGTCCAGTTGGCCTATAGGATTAAATCAACACTTTCTATCATTCAAAGTGTGAAACAACTGGATTGCTTTTGCTAGACAGGCTTAGAAGTTTTATAGCATAGACATTACATGATACAAATGTAATAAAAGAATTATCAGAAAATTTAATTGCTGAGAAGTTTTTGGTCAGATTTTAGAATATTAAAGCTCTTGAATATTTACCCAAGCACATAAATTCCCTGTATGTTATGTTAAATGCTATTGGCGGTTCTTGTAAGGTTTTCTGAGGTCAAGTTATATCAGTAATTTTACAGAGTTAAAGGATTTCAGGGTTTTCGTACTTGCAAGCTATTACTACAAGTAATGAATTATTTCTTAACCAATAATATTATATTGATGTGGAGATAGAGGCAGCAATGCCTATATCCACTCATGACCTATAAAATCTTATTAGAAAGAATCCTATTACATAATTCGTAGAAAATGTGTTTTTAAAATGCTGATAATGCCTGTTTTGATGGAGGATGCTCTATACTTTGTGTGTTTAAACAGGATGAGGAAGGATGGTGGGAAGGCAGTGTGAATGGAAAGACTGGCATGTTCCCATCTAACTTTGTGGAAGAGATTGAAGAAATAGAGCCAGAAAAAACTCCTGGTAATTAAATGAAAATTATGTGAATAAAAATAAGATGTGACGCTCTTGATGAGTTATCTCCCCTAGACTGTACAGCAAATTTATAACACAAATTTTGGTATGAAAAGGTTTCAGAAAGATCTAAATTTTGTCCCTGACAAAGATCTTCTATAAGATTAAGGTCAATAAATGCAATAGTTTTAAAAAGGTCAATAAATGCAATAGTTTGAAAAGAATAAGAATTGATTTTGACTTTCTGATTTATAAATTTATTAAGATCAACCTATTTTACATTTAAGAATATTTTATAAGTCTCAAAGAGAAATTGTTATTGGTAAACATAAAGAGTACAGTGGAGGTCATCAATATCTTCAATAGATCTTGTAAGTTGTATTCAAGTATAGATTACTGTCATAATTTCTGAATTGACATATTATTGGTTATATTAACTTTTCTGTCAAAAAGATTTTTTTTTAAATTTTAATAACCTATGTTGGTTATGTGTCAAGATGTTTCTTTTTCTGTATGTGTTCAGAGGAGAAGCCTAAAGAAGCACCTGTTGAAGGCAAAAAGAAGCTGATTGGAGGGGTGGGCTTAGGCAATATATTTGAAGGAGGACCAATTAAACTCAAAACCACAAGTGTAAAGAACACTGACAAGGTGGGTTAACAATTGTATTGGGAAATCTTAGGTAGCAGCTTTAAGTATTATTCAGACCTTTATAAGTGTTAGGTGTTCAATCTCTAAAAAATATATTATTTAATTTTGTATGTATTTAAATCAAAATATTGGTAAATTTTCTATTTGATCAGAATGTTATGACCACATACATTGTACCATGATATTTACAAGGGTATTTTTCCCCCCATGCTTTCAGTAATAAGATAATAAATAATGGTCTATTTGTAAAACATTTCAATATTTCACAGGTCTGTGACTAGCATTTCCAATAGTAGATTTTACCTGAATCGCTTGTGTATTGCCCCTACACTCAAACACATTTATATCGCTGGGAGGTTTCAAATTTCTGGCACCCAGGGCTGATATTCAGTACCTGTGACTGTCCTTATATGATTGGTAATTTCTCCCCATAACTTTTAAACCCCAAAAGATATCTTGATGAAAGTTGAAACCTACCTGCTTGACCCTCAGGTGCTCAGTGCTTTGGAACTAGGTCACAGTACCACTAGTCACTGGTGTATTGTGGTTATATAACTAGTCACTGGTGTACTGTAGTTATATAACTGGTCACTAGTGTACTGTAGTTATATAACTAGTCACTGGTGTACTGTAGTTATATAACTAGGCACTAGTGTACTGTAGTTATATAACTAGTCACTGGTGTACTGTAGTTATATAACTGGTCACTAGTGTCCTGTAGTTATATAACTAGTCAATAGTGTACTGTAGTTATATAACTAGACACTAGTGTACTGTAGTTATATAACTAGTCACTAGTGTATTGTAGTTATATACCTAGTCACTGGTGTACTGTAGTTATATAACTAGTCAATAGTGTATTTTAGTTATATAACTAGTCACT